CGGCGGGAGTGGGCCTGTGCTCCAAGCAGGAGGTGGCCGGAGCCCTGCGGGTCGTGCTCAGCTCCTCGCTGGCGGACTCCTGCACGAAGGCGTGCCTCAGGCCGCCGCCATGTTCGCGGTTCCCGGCGAAAGCGCCCTCAAGCAGAGCAAGTCCGCCCGAGCGGGCCTCCAGTTGTCCGTGGGTCGCTTCTACCGCTGGATGACGGATGCCAGGCTGGGGAAATTCATCCACGAGTATGCTGCCGTGTATCTGTGCGCGGGAATCGAGAATCTCCTGGAGGAGATTGCCCTGCAGTGCAATGGAAGCACGGCGGCCGCCTTGGATCAAAGTATTGCCAGGTATGTACTTATAGTTTTATTGGCTTTAGCTGGCGTTAGCGTGATTTCATTTTCTACATGTGCGCGATTATAATGGCATAGTAGAAGTTTGATCCTAATGTCTCTAGATAACTATTTGGCTGTTTCGGCGCAACCTCAGCCTGATACCAGCCAGGCTTCTCCTGACGTTTCTCGTTTGGTAGGCCGCGGTATTCAGATATGTGTATAAGGATATAGTATTGCATAAGTTTCAGGCAGTGAATTGACAAAGAACTCCTATAGGAGTTCTCGTATACGAAATCACGACCCTAAGTCGTTGCATTTTGGTACACCTTAATAAAATTCCTTTTTTAAACAGAAATATAAGTAACCCACTTATTCAATCTATTTCATTTGTGATGTATCGATCCAGTTCCGGCGATGTGTGGGGCCTGCTGCAACCGTTTGCCCACCTGAACGCCGGCAGAGTGGCTAGTGGAGCCCTGGCTCTGCCCAGATGGGCTAGTGTGGCCAGTCTGGCCACCTGCGTGGGAAGTGTTAGGGAGCTGAAGGAGAAGCCCTGCGCACCCAGCAGGAGTTCCAGTTGGCCGCCGCCCTCTCCGGATCCGCTCTGGCGGCCCTCTTTACTTTATGCGCTGCTCCCAGCTGGAGCACACGGAACTTCTCGCGGCCTCGGGCTGCAACTCTGGCCAGGCCCACGCAGCTCCTCCGGGGGCGGGAACCTCCTCCGCGGGCCACCACGTCCAGGAGTTGTGTTACGAACGGGCCTACGTGGTGCTGCCTCCGCTGGCCGAGTGGCTAAGAGTGGCCGCTGCCCACGCCGAGCATCGGAACGCCCTGATGATCGATAAGGACGACGTGATGCAGGCGGCCAGACTGCTCCTTCCCGGAGTGGATGCCCCATCAGGCCGTGGCTCATGACGAGGAGCTGCCCACGAAGAAACGCACTTCAACAATGCGCCCGCAGCCAGTTCTACGGGAACGGGAACAGGAAGCAGTAGCTGCAGTTCGCCGGTGGTCAGTGGAATCGGGATCGGAATCGGAGAGGACACCTCCGAGCTGGGCAGGCGAGCCACCATCGGAGTGGCCTTTAAGGTGAGTGATGTTTGTAACAGAAACTGTGGGCAAATAGAGGGAATTTTCTAAGTGTGAATCAAGTTACTAATTTGTAATGGTGCCAGATTGTCTTTTTAAAGAAAGTACTTTTTACTCTGCTGCTAAGCACTATCACGCCTTAGGTCAAATTTATTATAGCGATTCCATTAACTATACTTTTTGAAGGTACCTTCGTTTAGGAGAACGGATTGTAAAAATAAGATTCTCGAATTCATCTTCAAGTAATGGAGTTGGTGAATAGAAAATGAAAAAGACTTCGGTAGTTCGAATAATTATATCGATAAGTATTTTGGTTAAAGTTTCTTTGACATTCATGGATTATTATTTCATACTGATAACGACCTATTCTCGTAGAAGTTTGTAATCTGATTTTCTACTCTATTTTTTTATTCCATCAAATAGTTTATCATTTTTGATATCAGAATACCCTAACCATTGATATGCACTCTTTTTCAAGTATATCCTTACTATAAATTTAAACTGACATTTCTTCCGCAGCTTCTTCTGACTGGTCGGGCGGAACTGTTGGCTCAGGCCGCCAGCTTTTACCGCCGACCACGCGGTACGACACCCAAAACAGTGCGGGACTAACTGCCCTGATGATCGCCAGCATCCGGAATGACGAGGTGGCTCTGCACGCCCTGCTAGACGCAGGATGCGACCCGAACGTGGAGGTTCCGCCTGCCGGGAGCGCTGGCTACCCGGCTATTCAACCGGACACGCAGCACTGGACGGCACTTAGTTTCGCCGCCAGCAGGGCCAACTACGTGGCCCTGAGAATCCTCTTGGAACGGGGCGGCAAGGTGGAAGGCGGGGCCAGGAGCAGCGAGGAGAAATGCACTCTGACCCCCCTTCAGTTGGCCGCCGGCACGGGCAACCTGGAGATCGTGGCCTTGCTGCTGGCCCACGGGGCCAATGCCTTCCTGTCCACGCAACAGAAGGATTCACTGTGCTTCGCGGGATCTGCGCAAAAGGGTTGCTTCTGCGCCATTTCCGTGGCTGCTGCCCACGGACATCGGTCGTGTCTGCGCAAACTCCTGACCCACCCTGTCTCACCGGAACACGGGATGTGCTCTCGCTGGAGGAGATGCTGGCCGAGGGCGATGTGGGTGGGGTGAGGGGAGGAGGAGCCGGTGGCCCCGGAGGAGCTGGGGGTCCCAGCAGTAGCAGTGGAAACAGCGAGGACTTGCTTCCGCTGCTCAACAAGACGCAGATCAAGCGACTCCAGGAGGCCATGTACCACAGTGCCGAGAACAACCACTTGGGTAAGTGCAGGTTGGTGGGTCAAAAGTAATAATAAACAATCAGGGTTAGAGTGCCAGCAACACTGAACCTTGAAATTCGCACAATTTAGCTCTATATGATCGATCGGGAGACTATATCCTATAGCTACCTTAGGAGTCATAGGATAAAATATTTTTAAAGATTTTTGCCTCTACTTTGTTGTTAAATGTTTAATATTTCAACATAAAACCTGCAAAGGTGTTACAATAGCTTCCGTTCTCGATTTAAGATAACTCTTCGTCAGAATACCCTTTTAACCACCGGAGACGTAGGTTTAACATGTATAAACCTTTTAGTAAAGGACGTTTTCGACTTCAAAATGTCGTCATATACATATATTTCGATCACAAAATTAACAGAAACAATAAGTAAGCTCTACAGTCATTTGAAATTCAAATTAGGCAGATAGCAATGGCCGATTAAGTGATTCAAGCGGTTTTTAATGATTTTCTAATTCGGTTTAAGAGCGTCTTAAAATTAGTTAAAAATACAATTCCAAAACAGATAAGTTCGAAAACCGTTGAAAGAGTTTTGTTTACAAATTGCTTGCTTGCTTGGATGTTGAAATGAGATTTATTGTTTAGCAAATTTAAGCAATTGTTGTTTATTTGCATACCAATAACAAATCATTTGCTTTTTTGGCGTACAGATATAACCATTGAGCTGCGGAAACTTGGTGTTCCATGGACTCTGCACTGCTGGATGCACGCCCTTTCGGCGGCCCACGACTTGCGACTGGACGCGGTAATAGATCAGTTGCTCCAGGACTTCCTGCAGGTGTGTCCCGACGACTACAGCGCCCAGTTTGTGAGCGAGTGCCTGCCCCTGCTGTTCAACATATTCCGGAACAAGAACGAGGGCACCACCCTCCTGCTGGCGGACATCTTCGCCACCTGCTTCGGCTGGGAGACACTGCCCCCGGTGAAGGAACAACCGCCGATGCAGCCCGTCCAGGGATCCCGCATCGATCCCAAGTTCGTTAACAATCCGGAACTCAGCGATGTGACCTTCAGGTGGGTGAATCAGTCTATATCGGTAGGAGAAAAAGTGTTTTAAAACCACTGCTGTTAAAGCTATAAATGCTTTGAAGATCTCAAATAAGAGAGACCCTTCTATCATTACATCATTATTAAAACTATAATAAAGATCAGTGATAGAATGAAACGTTATTTTCCATTGCAGAGTGGAGGGCAAGATCTTCTACGGGCACAAGATCGTCCTGGTCACAGCTTCGCCGCGCTTCCAGAGCATGCTGAGCTCAAAACTAAGCGAGGCCAGCTCCACGCCCACGGTCCAGATCAACGACATCCGCTACCACATTTTCCAGCTGGTGATGCAGTTCCTCTACTGCGGAGGCTGCAGCTCCTTGGACGTGGCCCACGGCGATGTCCTGGAGTTGATGGCAGCGGCCAGCTTCTTCCAGCTGGAGGGATTGCTGCGCTACACGGAGGCACGGTGCTCGGAAATGGTGGACGTGGACAACGTGGTGGCCATGTACATTCACGCCAAGGTGGGATGGCAGATCATATATTCCCATTTTGACAAGCATCCTAAACGGTTTTCGATTTCCCAGGTCTACAATGCCTACCGCCTGTTGGAGTACTGCCAGTGCTTCCTACTCCAGAACATGGTGGCCCTGCTCACCTACGACGACTCCGTGAAGCGCCTGCTCTTCGCCAAGAAGATCCCCAACCACGATGTGCTCGCCGGACTGCTGCAGACGCTCCAGAACCGTTTGAAGACCCGCAAACCCAACTCGGGCGGTGGCCTGGTCAACTCCTACCGGTCGCCCCCGGCCACGCCCGTCAAGAAGTGAAGGAGCCACGCCCCCACTTTCTCGACAGAATCCAATTCTTATTTATTGCATTGTTTTTAATTTAATCTTTGAGCTTTTATGTATTATAATGATTCCCCCGCCCGATCCTGACGTCCTTCGCCCTGTCCTTAGTTGTATTTTTGTATTTTCAATTTGTTCAGCGCACTGTTAACCTTTACGAACCCCAGGATGGCCGAGCAGGCGGTCCTCTAGCTATTATTTTGTAGTTGAAATTGTTTCTGCATTAAATGAAGAAAGTAAAATTATGTTCACCAATGGTTTTATTTTAAATGGACTGCCAGGTGGCAAGTAGTTAATATATGTAAAAGATGTCCATCGCAGTAAGATAACAACTTGTGTAAATTTGAAATCGCAGACTAGAGGAAAATTGACTGAAACCCTTCTTTAAAATTTGTCAACAATATAACATATGGTTTTCCCCAAGTTTACAAAAAACATTAGAAAATTCGGTTCCATTTCCGCCATTTGTTTATTAGACCTTAGGGGGCTTAGCGTAATCAAGATCTGGTTGCGACACCTGCTCGCTGACCTGTTTGGCGGCCAGGGAAATCTGAGGCAGGATGGCTCCACCCTCGGGCACGAATCCGTGGTCATCGGCCTTGTAGTTGACGGTTACTTCCTTCCCGGTGGCATCGAAGTAGGAGTAGGAGCCGCTGATCTCGAGGTACTCATTTTCGGTGCCCTGGTTCCTGACCACCGCCTCCTCTCTCCGGTGGGTGCCGTCCTCGCCAAGGTAGGAGAAGTTGTAGGATCCGTCCTCGTGCTTTTCGTGGGATGACTCGAGAATGGCCACCGGTGGCTGGGTGGTGGAGCTGACGTGGTCCACTGGAGCACTCAGAACAACCGCCAGGCAAAGAGCCAAAGAGATGATGACCTGGCAAGATGATTTTGGAATGGGGTAATCCTCGGAGCGGTTATCTCCCGATGCTGCAATACTCACAATCTTGATCATGCTGCTGTCTGGATGGGAAGCTGACTTGATTTGACTCCGAGTTGGCGAAGACAGCTCTTTATATCGCCAAAAATGAAATGGAATTGGAATTGCGGTCGCCTTGCTTACCGGTTATCGGCCAATATCCAGACACTTACTTACATACGTACAATATGTACATTATGAATCCACGGGTATTTACTTGAAACCCGTTCTAAGAATTAATTAAAGAGCAAGCTTCTTACCCAGGCCCATCTTCCATCCCATCCCATTGCAATTTCGAATTTCGGCCTGCAATTTGAGAATCTTAATTTATGTTCGACCCCGGGTAGGGTCTTGTTCGCTCATCTGCGATATCATAACATTTAAATGAGTAAAATATGAATTCAAGAGAATTTGAGTATGGACTTTTGCAAAAAGGATTTATACTTAAGATTCATACCACTCTTTAATAAGCTTACTAAAATACGTTACAATTTATTAAAAGGATGTCCTGAAATGGTTACTTTAAATTTTCTTCTAGTGTAATATTCTTTCTAGTTGTGGAAATAATGCCTATTAAATGTATCGATGCGGTTGCCCTCGCTACTTCTCTCAAAGCTCTTCAGTTCGATTTCAGCACCTCTTCGATTTTCTACTTTTTGGGCATTTTCCAGATTGGATTTTTCTCGAACGAGAACATGCCGGGATCGGTTTTTCCGCTCGCAATTGTTTACACGAAAACTATAAACAAAGCAAACACACGGCGTCCGTCGCCGCGTTTGCCCTCATTGATGTTATTTTTGGCCACTGGGCATGAGGCAGCACTAAGTTCTCCATCCTCTCCAGCCGACCATATTATACGCGTTCCACATAGCAGCCGGTCAGATGAAGATGTTGGGGGCCAATGGGATGGAGATGGGGTGGGATGAGGAGGAAGATGGTCGGCGGATGGACTGGGATGGGTGGAAGGGTGCAGCCATTTCGGGCAGGGGCAGAATACTTAAAGGTGCCACATACGCATCGTTCGATTTGGATGCGGTCGGTTTCTTCGCGTTTTGTTTATGCAACAATAAATTTTACATTTAATTTTCGTTTCATTTGAAATGCTACAGCAATGTCGAAGAATGCCCCGATTTGGATCTGAATTGGATCTGCTCCCGGCGGGTGAAGCAATTTGTTAAATTTCGCGTACCAGGGGAATCTGCCAAGTATTGTTTCTTTGTTCGGGTTGTGAAATAATTCATAATTAATCGAAATTCAAAAATTCCGATTAAATGTTGAGCAATTTAAAAACTGAAATCAGAAATTACTGAAAATATGAGTACTGAAAACGATTTTTATTTTCTCTTATTTTGGTTATTGATTTCAAAATGTTTTTGGGCAACCAGAGCCCTGAAATTGGTTCGTTTTATGATTTTGAATACGTGTTCCGTATTTTTGTAACTTAAGGAAATTAGTCATTGGTTCGGAATTCAATAAGTAAAATATAGGGATACGAGTTTTCATATAGTTCTAAACTATCAAAAGCTCTGCAGAAAAGATTAAAGAATCTATCTTTAAATTAAATTAGAGTTCTTCGCCTGGCTTGGGAATTTTTTTGTTGGCTGCTAGTGACTTTGATGATAATGACTGTAAATGAGCCGACAAATGAGTTGCATGCGTCGTTGGATCGGTTGACTTTGATTAGTCCGGTAAAATATATCCTCAAAGATGCCAGTTGGTGGGAGGATACTTTCCTATATATGCACTGGTTGATCACCTGACAATCGTTGGACAAACTCATAGTAAATACGCCTTTTTCCCTTTCCTGTCGTTGTTCAAATAAAACGCCAGTAAGCGGAAAAAGACAAATCGACTAGAATTTAGGTATACACTTTTAGCATGTTCAAGACACACAGATGCGAACACATGGCACCGTGATGAGATTGGTTCTTGTGTCTTGCTTGCTTAGAAATTGAATTAATTTAATTTGGTTCGATTGATTTATGGACCAATCTGTGCTCTGGAAAACTGTGCCAAGAGGCGGCTGGGCTGCTGATCAGCGCCGCTGTCTAATGATCGAGAGTCTATATGCACGGGCCATACGAAAATAGCTTTATTTTTATAACTGTGTGCTGGTTTGGTTTCTTTTTTTATGGACTTCCCCCACATACGCAATGGACGGGATGGACGACGACGATGATGATGCTGATGGCATCTGCCAATGCACACAGCTGTCTTCCGATGCCAACTATGCGCACATACGTATATATTTATAAAGATATCTGGGCAAGGAAGTTGTAAACCACTCGGGAGGAGGCTGCCCATTAAGTTGTGATTTGTTTCACGGGGCTGGCAATTAAGAGCGCCATCCACCTACTCCAAAATCGGTCTCCGCGCGGAGACAAAGGCCGCGAAAGATGAAAACGAAAACGAAAATGTGGGAAAATTCGGCCAGAAACTGCACGGCCAAGGGTGGCGGCTGGGAAAGCCGGGAAATCGGTGGGGCTGCGATAAACAAAAACGACGACATGCCAAATGAAACGGGCAGCGCAAAAAGCGCAAAACTTTCGGCGGTCGGAAAACAAAAAGACAGACAGCCAGAGAGGAATATGTGCGGACGTGCGAGTATGTATAGGATAAATAAATAAAACTGAAAACTGAAAATTATGAAAAACAGGCGGCCGTAGTAGGTTGAAGCGTTCGCCAGCGCCACGAGTGGATTTTTGGATTTTTAAATATTTTTAGCCAAACGGCAAAAGCGAAATTTTGCCAGTCGAGTGGGATATTGGAAAGATGAAAAATTATCGTCACTGTGTGTGTGTATCTGTGTGGGTGTGGTTCATCTGGGTACTTGGCAACAGGGGCCGAAAAACGCCCACTTCCGTGCGGAGTCTTTGAAGGAGATCCTGTGGTCGGAACCCTAATTGCCGGCACTGGTCGCAACTCATGTCAATTGTAATACATATACTTTATAATGATTTTAGACGGCACACCGTGGTTTTGATTTCTTCAGGTGCTCAGGTGGGGAAACTTTCCTTAATTACTGTGTGGTTTTCCGATCGCTTGGGGATTGTCTTGAAATCTTAAAAGCGAACCGTACACGCTGACGCTTCGCGACGCACTGCACCTACGCTCCAAAATTTTGAAAACTCAAAGACATTTAGAAAATTCTATTCACGAAATGAGTGGGGGAGGGAGCGAGACGGCACTGTTCGGGAAGAAAGAGAGGGCGTTAGAAGATTGAAAAGAGAGGGAGCGAGCGCCCGATGAATGGCTGCTCTCAAGTGCAGATCCGAGCGGTCCGATCGCGAGCCAAGGAGCCAGGCAATTTATGCTGCTGCTCAATGGCAGCAGATGGGCAGCCCCACCACCCACCACCCACATCCCACCTCCCATCTCCCACCACCCACCAGCCCACGCCCCATGGCATAGAAAAATCCGTGTCTAAAATCGGACAAAAAAGAAAGGGGAAAACGAATCGATGAGTGCAGTTCGGCGTCAAAGTTCAAGCGGTTTTCGCAGTCGAGCGGGAAGAATTCTACACTTTCCACAATGCGATGATCGGCTGCTTAGTCTAAACATGGCTGCGGCCACACCCAGTCTTCCAGCCGTATCCCCACCCCGGGTCCGTGTTCGTGTCCGGGCATGGGGGTACGGGCCTTAGTCTTAGTCAGCCGGTGTATCCGTCAGTTGGCGGGTGAAAATAAACAACAAAGGGGGAAATACACAAAAAAAGGAGAGCAGCGAGTATGAACGTTTTTATTCTCTAAACATTCCTGGATGTTTATGTTTTCCCTTTTTCCTCGAGCGGAACTCGGGGTGCTCAAGTGCTGGGCCTCCGCTGAAACAAGATTCCGAAAAGATTCTAAAACGCTTAGTTAGGGCTCCCTCTTTTCCCAAACGGAAAACCGCCCCCTGCTTTTCCATTTAACTTTCTCTCACATTGTAAACATTTCACTTGACGCTTGATGCTAAATTTAACATTTTCGCCTTCGGGCAAAACAGGCAAATAAATTACGGAAATAAACAAAAATGAGAAACAGCAGCGGCAACAAAAAACTAAAGTTACCTGCGCTTCGAATTGCGGTTTCTTTTATCGCTGGAGAATTTATAAGAAGAAAAAAAATTGTTGGGTAGAAATGGGAAATGCATGGGTGGCAAAAGGGCAGGAAAAACTAGACATAAACAAAGGCCTGGGTTCGGAGGAGGTCGATTTGGTTGGGACATAACGCGGATAACTAGCTGCATCCCAAACGAAATTATGTAATTGTATAGCTGATCTTATGACTGCCACCTATTACAGAAACCAATACGCAATTGTTAAATCTCCGACTGAGTCTACAGCTACTGGAATAAAGTAGCTGGGGGAGTAATTCAGTGGAAACGCTTAAATTATGCTTGCTTATATATATGTACTTACCATGGACAATATGTGTAGATACATTTTTGACCAATATGCATATTTTTATCATCATCATCAACCCAAACCGAACGATATTGCACTGCTAGGGCTCTTGTGGCATTCGTTCATAAATCAAATCACAACTTTGTCAAGACGATATTTATGGAGTTAGATGATCGTTCATTATTCATTCAACTTAGGTACAACTCAATATGTTTACTTTATTATACGCAACAATTTAAATTATCAATTTTGGAATAATATTTTCTTAGAGAGCTAAAATACTTTACTTAAAATATTTAACTTAAAGCTTTATAATTATAATTTATAATTATGAATAGTAGATAGACTTAATAAAGGAAAGGCTGAAATAGTTGAATTGCATCACTGTGTTTAAACTTTTTCCATTACTAAATGGCTATGCAAAGCCAATTAGAAAATTCATCTGATCGTTTAAAAGTAACTTTCGTAAATAGTTACTAGTATCACGAAAAAAATGTAGAGAAATGCGAATTGTCATTCTTTTATTATTCATAAATGGTGATACATAATCTGATTCAGTCAAATCAAATTATTCGATCTAGATCGAGAATAAACTATTTTTATGCATGCATAACACTACAAGATTTTTCTATCATACTTTGAATGGAATAACTTCAAACTAATTGGAATTTACAAAGTCACAGTTTCTCCATTAAATTCGACAATATCACTGTTGCTT